ACTGAGAATGAACTAAGCGTTGATGGGGAGTGGGAGGGAAGGGAAAGTGGGTGATGGGCATTGAGGAGGGCACCTTTTGGGATGAGCACTGGGTGTTGTACGGAAACCAAGCTAACAATAAATTTCATAAAAAAAAAATTCTGATTCAAAAGCACACATGCACCCCAATGTTCATAGCAGCGCTATCAACAACAGCCAAACTGTGTAACCAGGCCAAATGTTCATCAGCTGATAAATGGATAAAGAAAATGTGGTATGTATATACAATGGAATATAACTGAACCACCGGAAGGAATGAAATCTTGCCATTTGCAACAATATGGATGGAGCTAGAATGTATTATGCTTAGCGAAAAAAGAGAAGGACAATTAGCTCGCTCATATGTGGAATTTAAGAAAAAAACAGATGAACAAATGGAAGGGGGAAAAATAAAAGAAAAAAGAGAGATGGGAACAAACCATAAGAGACTCTTAATGATAGAGAACAAATTGAGGGTTGATGGATGGAGGTGGGTGAGGGATGAGCTAGATGGGTGACTGGTACTAAGGAGGGCACTTGCTGTGATGAGCACTGGGTGTTGTATGTAAGTGGTGAATCACTGAACCAATATTGCACTTGGAACCAATACTGCACTTTATGTTAACTAACTGAAATTTAAATAAAAATCTGAAAAGCAATAAAAAAAAAAAAAGAACTTCTCTACTATCATTTTTTCCTCTCAATTTCTTTTTTCAAAGAATGTCACATGATTTATTTTTAAATATTCAGAAGCAGGAAAACGATTAATTTCTTTTCAGATACATACATGAAGGTAAAACTTTCATGTTTTACCTTCAAAACAAAATACGTATATAAGTTAAAAAAAAAAACAAAACCCTAGCTTTCAAACCCGGTTAACCTAGGGAATTAATAACACAAAGTCAAGGCAATAGTTACCTGTGGGGAAGAAACAATGAAAAACAAGGGATTGTAAGGACCTATTAGTGTTCTAGTTCTTAAGGAAAAGGGAAGATGTGTTGTTAATCTCTAAATGATACAGGTATGTTTAAATATACATTGTAGACGCATAAACATCACATTAAACAACCATTTTCCCCTCTCAATTTCAAAATCCAGTTATACTGCCTATTCCAAAAAGGGGCCAGGATGACTAATTAAAGACTACTGCTTATACTGAAAATAAATACAAACTAATAAAAATCAAAAAGCATATATCCTATAAAAATTCACTTACAATATATCAACTACACAGCAACATTATTAGTACACAAAAATAAAAAAAAATTTTATGTATGCTAAATTCCACCCTAAAATCCTAAATACCCTAACCAAATTTTTATTTTCCTAGGTCCTTTACTTCTTTTTTTTTAATGTTTGTTTATTTTTGAGAGAAAGAGAGAGCACACACACATATGAGTGGAGGAGGGGCAAAGAGAGAGGGAGACACAGAATGTGAAGCAGGCTCCAGGCTCCTGTGCTATCAACACAGAGCCCGACGCAGGGCAGAACCCACCAACTGTGAAATCATGATCTAAGCCAAAGTCAGACACTTAACTGGCTGAGCCACCCAGGCGCCCCTCCTAGGTCCTTTCCTTCTGATGTCTAACAGTATTTTGCCTTTAAAAGGTATCACATAAATTTATATTCACTTGAATTCCTAAGCCAGGTAACTTCAATAAGGATGATCATTTAGACCAGAAGACTTGACATTCACAACTGGTAGCCACATACCTGAATTTAGAAAGAACTGAGGAGAGTCTCCATGAATGCCCACTGTGCCTGGTCCCAAGGAGTCAGAAAGGGTATTTACAAAGGAAAATACTCCACTCATGATTCCAAAACCCAAGCCAGAAACTAAAGAGGAAGAAACACACTGTTAGACCCTTTTTATGTTATGATTTCTCTTCAAATCAACTTTCCAAGGATTACAGAATATTATTTTTTAAAGGAGAAAAAGGACACATGCTATTGGAGAAGCTGTGGAGAAAGCTGGCTCAGAAAAGATGAGTGCTTGGCTAAATGATAAATAGAGCAAGAATGGTGTAAAAGGAAGGGAAATAAACAGTGGAATGTAGCAGAGATATGAAAAGGAGAGAAAAAGATCTAGAAAGGCACAGAAACAATAGGCAAGACAGAGAAAGACACTATGCTGAAGTTCTGGCTTTGGTTTATGTTAACAGTCTGTAGAACTAATTCTCAACCTTGACCACACATTACAAACACCTGTGCAACTTTTAAAATTGAACAGATTTCTTCCCTTTCCTCATGCCAATTCTGTTTAATTATTCCAGAGTGGGTTTTAAACATGAATATATTTTAATGCCTCCCCAGTAACACTAATGTGCAGTCAGGGTTGGGAACTGGGAGCTTGGGACAAGGGAATCAACACGGATAAACTATGTACAGATTCCTCCTAACTCTGCCTCCTACCATTCGTGGGAGGGGGAGGCTAAGGAAAGGTGGAGGTAGGTCTTTGAAGATGAAAAGGTCAAAAACTAAGAGGTCAAAATGTTGCGCTGTCATTACTTTATCAATATCATTTTTATTTTTTTTTTCAACTTTTTTTTTTTTTTTGGGACAGAGAGAGACAGAGCATGAATGGGGGAGGGGCAGAGAGAGAGGGAGACACAGAATCGGAAACAGGCTCCAGGCTCCGAGCCATCAGCCCAGAGCCTGACGCGGGGCTCGAACTCACGGACCGCGAGATCGTGACCTGGCTGAAGTCGGACGCTTAACCGACTGCGCCACCCAGGCGCCCCTGGTTTTTTCTCTTAATGACAACATGCAGTCCCAACTTACCATAGGCCAGCAATCGCATAGAGGGTGCTGTCTCATCTGGGTTTATACTCCTCAAACCCTCATTGGCTTTTCTAAAATAAAACCATACAATTTTTTAAAAGGAAAATAGTATATCAGGAAAATACACAAGATATTTCAAAATCTAGATGCTTATTGAGGTTTCTAATCAGGTTGTACTCTAAGTCTAAAATCCATTTAAACAAAACTCAGAAAATTTTCAATTAACTTAAATCAATCGAAATTTACAACCAACATTTTGCCTTTTATCTGACTTTCATGTAGAAGAGAAAAAAATAAGAAAAATGTAAGTAAACAAGCCATCAAGGATTGGGTTTAGTAAGAAAAAAAGTATGGTTCTACTTTCTGAGCTCAGTAAATATTTAATTCAATATCCTATGGCATCTATCACTCTGAATTGTTTTCTCTTTCAAAAGTACTGTATCTTCAATCCCAGTTTAGTGGTACTTTATACTATCTCCTGCCTGGGTTATAGTTATGTTGCTACCCTCCCTTCTACCTTCCACTTCATAGGACCTAAATTATACTCATCCTCCAAAGTCTCACTTACTCAGCAGTGTCTCAAAGAAACCACCTTTGCCAGTGACTGGTAATTGCTATTATCTCCTTACTCCCTTTTTTTAGTGCTTATTTTTGAGAGACAGTGTGAGTAGGGGAGGGGCAGAGAGAGAGGAAGACAGATAATCTGAAGCAGGGTCCAGCTGTCAGCACAAAGCCCTACGTGGGGTTTGAACTCACGAACCGTGAGATAATGCCTTGAGCCAAAGTTAGACACTCCACTCACTGAGCCACTCAGTAAGGGATCTGGGTCCCTAAGGTGCTCTAGTTTCTTATTCTTAAATCCTAGAATACCCATGGTCTGAACTCTTATATTAGTACTTAACCTGGTCTTCGGATGATAAAAGTATTGAACATATTTGTTTCATATCCCAATCAGGCTTCAGATAAGAAATAATCAGAGGAGAATAAAATGCTGCCCTCAGAAAAGGAGATAAATGAATACCTAAACGAAACATTAAAATACTGCTCAATGAGAAATGATATTCAGAGTGATCATATCTGTGCTGTGAACAATTCAGAAACTTACCATGAGTCCCTGCTCCCATGCAGATGTATGTAGGAATGCAAGATGTGGCTGGTCTGTTCCACTACTGTCACTATTACTAACATTTGTTGGCTAGAAACTCTGCAACAATGATCCTGACTCCAAGGATATCTACATTATATTTACTATAAAGTATATTTGTTAAAGCAATAAAGAAACAACGTTTTAGACTGATTTCTTAGCAAATGCAGAAACAAAATGAGTTGGGTTAACTCTAAAAATAGAAAATTTAAATTAACCAAAACATACTTATATTCTGGGCATTGTGTTAATTTAAATTTCAAGGTACACATATTCAGTACAGCTGGCTTATTCATTACATAAATATAAATATCACGGATTTCTTTAAATTAAGGCAATGCGGGGACGCCTGGGTGGCTCAGTCGATTAAGCGTCTGACTTCAGCTCAGGTCATGATCTCACGGATTGTGAGTTCAAGCCCCGCGTTGGGCTCTTTTGCGGACAGCCTCAGAGCCTGGAGCCTGCTTCAATTCTGTGTCTCCCTCTCTCTCTGCCCCTTGCCTGCTCACACTCTGTTTCTCTCTCTAATATAAATAAACATAAAAAAAAATTTTTAAAAAAAAGTAAATTAAGGCAATGCAGAATTCAACCAAAATAGCAATAAGCATAATGAAAAAGGCCTTTTGCTTTTCCAGACTCAAGACAAACAATATGCGATTTCAGGGTACTCCATTTAGAAGCATTAGTTGGTAGCAAGGACATTGACATTAAGTGCCTGTCATCATCTTTCTCTGGAGCAGTAACCAACTAAAATGTTCAATTTTTCTAAATAAAATAGGGGCGCCTGGGTGGCTCAGTCGGTTGAGCCTCCGACTTCGCTCAGGTCATGATCTCACGGTCCGTGAGTTCGAACCCCGCATCGGGCTCTGTGCCGACAGCTCAGAGCCTGGAGCCTGCTTCAGATTCTGTGTCTCCCTCTCTCTCTGGCCCTCCCCCCATTCATGCTGTGTCTCTCTCTGTCTCAAAAATAAATAAATGTTAAAAAAAAATTTTTTTAAATAAAATAAAATAACCTGTCACAAGAATGTTATTAAAGGCTAATTAAAGCTTAGAAAAAGGGGCACCTGGGTGGCTCAGTAGGTTAAGCATCTGACTTCAGCTCAGGTCATGATCTCAACAGTTCATGGGTTTGAGCCCTGAGTTGGGTTCTGTGCTGATTGCATGGAGCCTGCCTGGCATTCATTCTCTCTCTCTCCCTTTCTGTCCCTCCCTGACTCATGCTTTCTCTCTCTCAAAATAAATAAATAAACTTAAAAAAATAATAAAGCTTAGAAAAAAATGCTTAGAGACATATATGATAGTAATAATCTCTATCAACAAATGGACGTAAGAATACAACAGTATCATTAAATTTTGGAGGATCTGTTTAAATTGCTCAATAATGAATAAAAGATTTTTGCTATCTGGTATAGCAAAGTACTGCTATCACAAATATATTAAATATATAATTTCAAAAGTTTAATAAACTTCCTCATTCCACATTACAAATTTGTGAGAGGAAAGGTCAATGGCATTAACAGTTCTCAATGCTAACATTAGGAAATGAAAAAGTAGTTTCCATATTCCTGATGGACAGCGTTTTCGACAGTTTTACTGAAGTGGAAAATTCTTTGTTTGCATTTATTACTATTTTCAAGAACATAAAAGAAAAAGTCCAATTTTTAAAATACAAACTTTGAAAAACTGATAAATCATGTTTTCTTTGTCTTTTGTGTATGTGTAGTAAGAGACAAACAGTATCAAAAAATATGCATATAAACATTCCATTTTAGAAATTTTTAAAAATAGATTATGCCTTTTAAGAAACTATAATAAAGATTATCTCTTTTCTATAAATAGAAGATTTTCTAAAATTAGGAAATATTTATGGTATCAGCACTGTAAGACAGAATTGGATTAAATTGCAAAAGGTTAACCCAAGCCAACATTTTTTAAATGTATATTTTAGGTAATGTATAGGCCCATAATTTGGATTTTTTAAAAAATTAATATAGGAAGAGCTATCACTTGTGGCCACATGCCAGTTTCTCAGGGTACAACTCTTTGCTAGGGTGAAAGTTATTATTCATTATTCAAGATGAAGTACTTTTCCTAAAGCCTGACCCATGAAATAAAACTATGAGATTACAATAATTATTTTGATTCAATTTCACATATGTAAAAAAAAAACAGTGCAAAATGTTCACATTTTAATCTTGGCACCAAATTCCGATAGCAAATATGTGATTAAGGCAGTACTTTAAAGTTGAGAACCCACTTTAACAGTGAAGATAGTTAAAATATCGACTGAACCAAAGTTCCTATATTTAAATACAGCATAGCATAAGACAACAACTTAAATGTATTTATATGTTAGTCATGAATAAAGTATCATAATCATTCTCAAACTTGTTTTAACACATAACTACATGACAGCCAATATGTCTAAAATGTGCTAGGAAGATATGGTACAATAATCCAAAGTTTCAGCAAAGATGCATTTTGCAATGGCAAATAAAGCCACCTATTATTTTTTAAACGTTTATTCATTTTTGAGAGACAGAGTGTGAGTGGGAGAGGGGCAAAGAGAGAAGGAGACAGAGAATCTGAAGCAGGCCCCAGGCTCTGAGCTGTCAGCATAGAGCCCAACATGGGACTCGAACCCAAGAACCGTGAGATCATGACCTGAGCCTAATTCAACCAACTGAGCCACTCAGGTGTCCTTAAAGGAACCTATTAATACAGGTTTGCCGTGTTACCTGGTTGCTAATTTTCAAAGGCCCTTTCAGAGGAGTAAACATGGTTTCCCCAGAAAGCCAAAGAGGCTTTACTGAACTTGGGGGCCTGAGAGCCATCAGACTGACCTGTAATTCCTTCCACATATGGCCCCACTCCCTCACTACCCTTATTAAAAATGGTAATGTTCAGCCTGCGGTCCTTTAGAAACATAGGACAGTGCAAAATAAAAGGTTGCATTCCAGGTAGACACCATGAAGAACGAAGGTGGTAACGAACGGCAGATTTAGCCACTCCAGGCAAGTTGGGTTACAGACCTAAAGCCCTAAGGGGTTATTAAGCCCATATCCCTACACTGTAAAATCATTCAAAATTAACCTATTTCAAAATCAGAATCATCATGTGGAGAATGTAAAACTAACATGAGCCAATGATGTTGCTGACAGGAAAAAAACAGTGCAATCTGAGGCTGAGTTGTTCAGAGGACAGTGCCCAGTCAAGGGTGGGAAGGGCCACTGCTCGGTACCACTTCGACCACAGCAGAGTGCTGTGCTGGTCTTAAGCACAGGTAAATTCCAGGCACTAAAAACGGGGGTGTCTAGTGACGTAAAGAACAGAGATGGAATAGGTTTGGAAGCCATATCTACGTCTTCTGAGGGCCAGGTGAAGAAATGAGGTATGGGTAGCCTTGTAAGAGACAAGACGACAACCATGTAACAAAGATTTCATTTGGCCATGTGGGGCAGAGGTCAGAAAGAGGGAGACTTTGTCTACCTTAATATATTCTAAAGTTAAAATTAAATTTTTGAATGAAAGTAACTGCTGCATACCAGAAACATCCACAGGTGAATAGATGGTCCATCTGTTAAGGGTACTGTACTCCTGTGGAAACTGAAAAGTAATTGTCGGTATTTTGTTTTTGCTCTTTAATATTTCCAGAAACTAGGGGAAATATCATTTTTAAACCTGTTCTAAGATAGAACTTTTGCTTTTAAGCAGTAGCTTCCTGGGTTTGTTATTTGTAATTAAAACAGCTTCAGTGTTAAATTTCAATATCTGTTATTAAAAGCAACAAGTAAAAAAAATAGAGAAGGCCTGGCATAGTGGCAAGAACAAATTATCAGAAGCCTATTACAAGAGATGTCGTTGAGGCTCTGTCTTGGTTTCATCTATGAAATTCGTGGAATGCCTTAATCATCTCATTTGCAGAAATAAAAAGAGCACACATCACTTTATTAATTCTTACTACATAATCAAAGTCAACCTCATGACTGCCTGAAAGAAAACATGGTCCCAAGATCAAGCTGTGTTTCAAATCAGTGGTTTCATGTGAGGTCTTCATGGGTCCTACAGACAACCTATGACCAAAAAATGAAACTCAAGACAATGGCTTCTTTTTAAATCTATTTTTCTATTATAGATATGAAATGCCATGAAATATCACAAAATAAACCCCAGTTTTCCCCTAATGCATTTAAAACAGTGGTAGGCATAATCTCCACAGGAATTATTTATTTTAAGTGGCAGCAAAAAGAAGCACACAGAAATTCTAACCTGGAACAGTTTTTCTTCTTGTTTCAGTAACTCTTTCTCTGGCTTATTTTTCTCTAAGACACTTATTATCTTCTAACATACAATGTATCTTCCTGTTCATTCATTTGTCATCTCTTTCCACTATAAAATAACCTCTGTGAAGACAGAAACTGTCTTTTAATCAGGATGTATCATTCCCAGTGCACAGGATAGTGCCTGGCACTAAGTAAATTCTGAAGAAGTATTTTTGGAATGAGTGAATGAATGAAGGGAGTTAAAATACTCAGTTAAAATACTCAGTATTTTCAGGCTGAACATGTACAATTCCTTGACTTTCAACTCTGTTAGGAAGACACGGACCCTCAAACACCACACTATATTAACATTTTCAAACTACTAAATCATAATTCAAGTATAAATGCAAAGAAAGGTAAAGCAAACATTTAACTTACTTCAAAAGTTTATAATATGCAAATCGAAACATTTCTTGGACAAGGACGGAGACTAACACTCCCAAGATCAGCAGATATTTCTGTATTGGTCCATCTTTGTTGTCAGTAATGGTTCTTGCCATGAACCAAAAAAGGGACGAAAACAGCAGAGATACCAACCAGAAAAAAGCTCTGAAAATTAGAGGGGGGAAAAAGGTTAAGTGAACAGGATTAATAAAGACTTAAAAGTGAAAAAAAAAAAAAACCCTACTTGAAAAGGAACAGATTTCCTGACTCCTTAACAAGGGGGGGGGGGGAAGTCCTCATCAAGTGATGCTTGGATCAACTGTTCTTCATCACTGGTTCGTTTTCCCCAGGGAGACGAACATGCCCTCCAAGAGGAATGTGAGATTTTTCCTAACATTTTTTTTTCAGTGACTCTGCTATTTCTAAGTACATCTGCAGACTACCTGCCAAGGGCCGTTTAGCTAGAAACTTGGTTATTTGCTACTCTTCCTAATTAAGGCTTTGCCCAGTGATGTGTAAGTATGAGCCTTTTCGAGAAAAACGTCTACATCTCTATTATCACAGTGATTAGTATAAAATTCAGAGGTTGGAAATCGCTGATGGTTGAAAATCTAAATCAGTTTTCCAGTCCCGCTTTTGCAACATACCTGTGGATTTTAAATGATTATAACCAGCTTTACAAACCTTTTGCCCAAATGTCTATTGTGTTTAAAATGACACCTGTGATGCAGCACTTTCACTACAGCTGCGAGAGGTGAAACAGCTCAGAGAAGGTGGGAATCACTGGCCTACCAAGGCTGTTTCTCCTGGTACTGAGACTCAAGGGAGGAGGGGGACGTGGGGAGCCCCGGGAAGGCTGCAGGACAGGTGAGAACCGGGATTATGACCACCTTCGCCACCAGAGTTCAGTATTTACCAAGCTCCTGCCAGGAGATGCACTGACAGGTGCGTCGGTGTTTTCACAGGTTTCCAGCCTTTGGCTGTCCTTCTGGGGAGCATTAAGGAAGAAAATCCGTAGCCCGAATCCCCCCCCCCC